CTCTTTCCCTGTTCTCCTTAGAGTTTTCCTACAGCTGTTCCCTGGGATAGTTCCTCAGTTGATGGGGCAATTTTTCCCTCTGGTCATTTTCTTTTTCTTAGCTTTACTATTTTACTTCTTCCACAAAGCCTGTTTCATATGAAGTTGGATTAAGATGGAATAGCATGTGCTATAACAAAGGGCCCCATTCATCGGGGCCTCTTCTCCAGAAAGGGCATCTCGGAGATGCACTATAATTCTCTGAGCACTGCCTGTGACTTATCCCTGGCTTAGAAGATAAGGTCCCAAGCAGCACCTCCATGGCTGGTGTCATCGGGTCCTGGGCTAGGGAAGTAATCACACCTGATTGTTAAAGGATATTGAGGGGTATCACCTCTCTTTGGCCAGGAGAGAAGACTGGAAGGTCAAGACTCAAGTGAGAAAACCTCAGTCTCAGTTCAGAGGAATCTCACTGGTCACGAGACAGTAAAGCAACAGGTGAGGCCACCCACCGTCTCTGTCTTGAGTGTGGGTGGCAATTCCAGGGCACTTCCAGCTTGGACACTCCCCATAGCCCTCAATGGCCATCAGTGAAGTGGGCGGGCATGGACAGCTAAATGGCCTGCAGAACCCCCAGGATCCATATACAGGGCGCAGATATTGTTTTTGGCCATATGCACATCCACGTTTTATGTCCTTTCTCAAGTCATTAAATCACTTTCTTTGACTTAGCTTTGAAAGCTCTAGCAAGCTGGCTGAGCTACATAGAGGCCAGGGAGGGGGAAGATCAGTGGGCTGGCCTCTGACTATTACATATAGCAAGGAAGGGGCAACTAGAGAAGGCTCCATGGCAACATTAGTGATGTGGGGACCGCATGCGAGGGGACAACTGGCATATTTATGTTCATCCAAACTAGACTTGATAAAAAAGCCTCTCTTAATTAACTGCAATAATTCTTTCTGAAGTCTTCAGAAAAGGAACAGACAACCTCGACTTGGCATACTTAAAATGTTCATCTCTACGTTCCCAAGGATGGAATGTCTTGTTTGAACCTTTATTTTGGCTTAGAGATGAGGGGAGAAAACATGTAACTCAGGCATTTGAGCAGTGAGTAGAATGACAGTAACCATGGTTTTCCTCCAGGGTTTCTTGTGACATTGTAAGCTCTATAACCATCATAACTAGTTGCCTTTCTTTAGCTTACGCTCTATTTAAGTGTCCGTGGATATAACTCCCTGCCCCAACTCTACCTCTTATTACTCACCCCTCACTCTACCCTCATCCATTTTAAGTATTGCATGTGTTTTTAAAGTGACAGCTATCCAGGATGCCCTCTGGTTCAATGACACCTTCCCCCCCACAACTCCTATACCCACTATCTCCAAAGTGGCCCCAATGAACCACACCTTTCTGTGTTCCATTCTTTTTTTTAAATCCTCACCCAAGGATATGTTTTGTTTTGTTTTTAAAATTGATTTTAGAGAGAGAGGAAAGGAGGGAGTTAAGGAGAGAGGGAAAGAGAGGAAAAGAGAGAGAGAGACATTAATGAAAGAGACTGCCTCCCGTATTCATCCTGACAGGGATCGAACCCATAACCTGTATTGCACTGGACGAAGCTCCAACCAGCTGAGCCACTGGCCGGGGCTTGTATTCCGTTCTTGCGCAATCCCTTCCCCTTGGATCTAGGCGGGCCCTATGATTTGCTCTTGACCAGTAGTGTGTGGTGGGAATGACTGTTACTCCACAGGTTATTAGAAGAACGTTGCAGCATCTACTGGGACCTCCTGCAATGTCAGCTCTGGGGGGAGCCAGTCGCTCTGTCGGAAGTCTGACTGCTTTGAGACCTCTGTGTTGTGAGGAAGCACAAGCTAACCATGTGGAGACACTATTGAGAGGGATGCTCAACCAGCCTCCACCTGTTCCAGTCATCCCATTGGAGAAGCCAGACATGTGAGTAAAAGAAACCATCATGGATAGCCCACCTAGTCGAGCATTTAGAGGACACCAGGCTCAGCTGCCATCTGATAGCAACCATGAGATTCTGAGAGACAGCAATCACCCACATAATCATGAGCGATAACAGCTTTCTATTGAAACCACAAAGATTTGTAGTGCTTTGTTACACAGCAATAGATAATTGGAACACCATCACGGGGCAGGATGGCCATGAAGATAGCAAAACATTTTCCATATCTCTCTATGTCAGTCTTTTGGGTTTAAGTGAGAGTCTGACTTTCTTCTCTTCATATGTAAAGTAGTACTAATGGTGGCAATGAGGACTAAGTCATTCCATGTCGAGCCATGATCATTGAAACATTTTGAAAACATCCACCTTTTTTTTCTTTTTAAATATATCTTTATTGATTTCAGAGAGAGGAAAGGAGAGGGAGAGAGAGAGAGAGAAACATCAATGATGAGAGAGTCATTGATCGAGCCCACAACCCAGGCATGTGCCTTGACCGGGAATCGAACACCAATCGCCTGGATCCTAGGTCAACGCTCAACCGCTGAGCCACGCCCAGCCGGGCAGAAAACGTCCACCTTCTAGAAGCCACTGCTTTCCCTCCTGTCCCCTCTTCCTCCTCTGGCCATGCACCAGTGGACTCCCTGCACCTCCTATCGCCTGCTGAATGTGCCCAGTTCACTGGCCGGGACGATGCTCTTGCAGCAACGCACATCCAGTCAGCTTTCCTGGAAGACAAGGGCAGCCAGAGGGAGGGGCTGAGCATCAGTGCCAGGTGGGTGGGGAGGACACCGGTCTCTCCCTATCTTTTGGAACAAGCTTCCCTCAAGGAGTCTTCCTAAGATTTAACCAGGGTGTTACCCTTTCCACTGCCATCTTCATAATACTTTAATTTCCTTCTCTATCCTGGAAAAGATGTTGGAGAATACCCTTCCCCCAAGATCAATGAGACAAGGTTGGAATTTTTCAAAAGGAACATTTACTGGGAAACTAAAGGGAAACCAAACAGAATGCAAGAGAATAAAGGCAGAGTTGCAGATGGGCTAAGGGAGGTCAAATTTATAACCGGCCTCTGGCCACAGCTGGACTGGCTAGGCGGCTTTCCAGACACAAAGCCACCTGCCTGCCACATGGGCAGGCCTCTTTGCCTGCTGGCCCCTACAAAGCCACCTTCTGTTTCATACCAACAGATTAGTAGCAAACTCATTAGCACCCAGGGCTGCTAGCTCTCTGGGCAGGAAGATCTTGAGGGGGAAACAATAGGCACAGCTGCTCTAGGATCTCCTGCCCAGGCTCTCAGTGCCAAGGACATGTCAAAATTTATTGGGATGGTTGCCTGATACTTATTCTGGCCAGTCTGATTTATCTGAGACCATTCTTCTGGCTTATCTGCCTGGCTTTGGAGATAATATTTCTGCTGACTATCTTGCTGGCACTAGTCTTTCACGCTTGGGTCCTAAACACTGATATGGTGAAAGATGTCTGAATGGGGAGGAATAGACAGAGAGAGTTGGGCAAAGAAAGTTACATTCTTATCATGTCATCCGACACAGGCAGAAACTTGGGTCCCCTTTGGACCCTGGAGGTTGAAAGCCAATGAGAGATGGAAATGAATTAGGAAGGCTGGGGAACACGTGAAGTTGGAGTGTAGCAATAGCGCCTCACACAACCAAAGGCCTCCATCCTTTCTGGATGTGACATCTGGGTATTTCCTATACCAGGCAGCTGTGGCAATGAGAACTTTCTGAAGACATACAGTGGTCCGGTTTCCACCCAATTAGTCCTACACTAAAATGTTAATTCCAATGAAGATGATGAGCTTCCCAGGAAGGTTAACCACAATCCAACTCCAGCTTCTGCTGCAGAGGGATGGTATGAAAAGAGAAATGTTATCTTGGAGAAGTGGTGAAAGTGTGTGGATGGAGTACCCTGCACCCATCATGGGAGAGGGAGGACCTCTCTCCCAGGCTATGCTGAGGCCTTTGGTTTCATTTATATGATGGCAGAAGCAATGGGGATGAGGAACACAGTTGGCAGTGGGTTGGCTGATATGGTCACAAAGGAAGCTGAGTAATGAATGAGACACCCGGGGAGAGCCCTTGACCTTCACTCTTGTAGGTATTTGCATTCCCCAAGTGCTATGAAAGTCATCTGCATGTCTGGAAGTGAAAATGAAATCTGTCTGTGGCTACCCACGGCTATGCCTCTGGGCTGCTGCATATGGAAATACCCTGGAAGGCACTCAGGCCGAGAAGGCCTAAAGTTGGGCCTCCAGCCAGGGGATGGCTGTATTATCTCTCTGTGAACTCAGCTCACACAGTGGTACACCTATTTGTGAGGCTGTTGCCTCAGTGGACAAATGAACCTGGGAAGGAGTACTCCAGAATGCTTATGCCACTGAGATGCATGCCTTTCTAATTGATAATTAACTTTCATTCTAATGCCAACACCGGTTGGAAGGAAGTGGCTGCTGGCCATCTAGAAGACCGTGTTGTGGATTCTGACTCCTCAGAATCTGGCTTTAGCAGAAGAGAGGGCCACGATCAACTGGTACTCGCTGCCAAGTGCAGGGGAGGGGGCAGTGAATTTGCTGTGAACTAGCCCTCCTTGCACTTGCTTTTCTCCAGAGGAACAGGGAGCTTCTCCTCTTACATTCCTGGGGCTGTTCCTTGCAAAGCTGGAACACTTCTCGGGTGAATTATTTTCTAGAGACAGTTATTAGCTCAGAGGTGAATTAAATTTGCTGCCTATGTAGCACCTGGATATATTTTAAACTATTCTGTCTTTCCAGGGCATTCAAGCAAATAACATCATGTCGTATGATGTTGCCAGGGCAGATGCTGTGACCCCATCACTAAGAGTCCTGGGACCCAAGGTCTGCTCAGTCCTCTCACTGTATCAGCTGGTTTCTTCCATAGTCTGATCTTGGTTCCTGGACTTGAGAGACGTGCTTCCCCTGCAGCACACCAACTTAGGCCACCTGAAGACAGCTGGACCATTCGTGTTCACCAAACCCAGTCTGGAAAGAAAGCCAGTTATCGCTGTGGTTACAGCTGTGCATTTGGTCACTGGAGCGTCCGGGTGTTGGAGAGGGAACGTTATGTAAGATCTTTGTAAGATGGTTGTCCTACTGTGTCCTTGGCAGAGCAGTCCTCTTACCCACAGTCATCGTTTCTGTAGGAAGAAGAAACAAAAAGAATGCTTTGGTTTTCATCATGTATTTTTCATGTGCACTAAACAAGTGCCAGGCACTGTGCTGGGTTGTGGGGGATATAGTTCCATGGGTGAGACACACACCGTGCTTTCAAGGGGCTTACAGAGGGAGAAATTACAACATGGGAAGCTGAATAACAGAGGTGCACATTAAAATGCACTAAGAGCAAAGAGGAAGGAGGGACGAACTTCCAGGACTCATCTTTACCAGGGGTCTTGCAAGAGAAGCTTCTTGAAAACAAAGTTCCCCTAGGGAAAGTCAGCTATACAAGTTGGGTGTGAGAAAAGCAGTTCAGCTGTTCTAGGAGAAAGGAACTTTCGAGTATGGCATGGATGAATTGTGCTGTGGCTCAACCCCTTCTGTCTGTCTCATGGGACGAAGATTGGAAAACCTCAACCAGCCGATCAACCAGATAAGCAAACTACAACACCTTTCCAAACTCTTATGACCTAATAAGTTGTTTCTCAGTCAAGATTTCTGCTAAGTGAGGTGTAAAAAAATATTTTTCTCTAGTTCAGAAAAGCACTGACCAGTAGGAACTTGATAGGGGGGTGGGGTGGTGGAGACTGTGGCACCAAGATTGTAGATAGCAATGGTGTTCAAGCCCTGGTGGCCATCAGGCTGGCTTCACTGGCTCAGAGCTGGCGCCAGGCCCACTCAGTGGGCAGAAGCAGCAACAACCTTGTTATCAGTCCCAGGGGCCTCCCAGGCAGCACCTGGGGTTCAGAAGGTATCAGGAAGTTTAGTGGCATCGGCAGGAGTGGTGGTTACAATCTCATCTGAACAGAGCAGATTTTATGCGAATTCAATTGTCCTGAGACATATGCATCTGATTTGAATTAAATTGGATTGAAACCAAAGATGAGAACTGTCCCAGTGAAAACTGTAATGTGAAGTGACACGTCGATCACATAAATGACAGCTGATGTGAGACAGGCCATTGAAACTGACCCCAAATTAAGAACATTAGAAGACTGAGTGGATCATTACATAATATCTTCCTGTGAATTTGAAAATGGGCTTTGATTACAGGAAGTATCTAAGGGCTTTGAACGAAGAAGCCTGTCAAAAATTGAAGTGACTCATTACGTGATTCAATCTTACACGTACTTAATGTAGTTAAACTTGAATTTCAAAATTTTATTTTAAAAAGCATAAAAATCTTGGGATTTTGTTGACTATTTATTATGTACCACAGCTTTGCAAATAGATGCCAAACCTCATGCCACGTCTGCTTAGAATCTGAGCCTTCCCTTCTCCCATTCTCCAAAGAGGGCATTCTGTATTCTTCACCTCCCTCACCCCTTAAAGAACCAGGGCGTTAAAGAAATAAAGAGCACGGCTGTAACTATACTTCCAGTCAGGGCACTGGGGCGAGAGCATGGAAAATGAAGGAGTCCATTTGGGTAATAACTACTATTTATTGAGCACGAAAGCACCCTGCTCTATCCGAAGAGCTTTGCACACCTTATCTCATTGAACCTTGGCCCTCTGGGATAGATATCACCATTGCATTTTCACAGAGGTAACTGAGTCTGAGAAACACAAAATAACAAAGGCAGTAAATGGCAGAGCCAGAATCTGCCATCACACGTTTATGGACCCAAATGTACGCTCTTTAAGTACTATGCCCAGGATGGCAAGTTATTGCGCCTCAAATGCCGACTCCATTAAGATGCCTTTCTAAAAAGGATTCTCAGTTCAGAAAAGAATTCTGAGCAGTCCAGTCTTCATAGAAAAGTGTACTAGGGTCTATTGTCAAGTCAAGTCAACCTTGAGAGGAAAGGTGGTGAATGGTGGCAGGGGTGATGTGACATGGAGACTGTCACCGAGAGGGGCTCATCGGAAACAAGCAAGAAGCAAGGGCTGTGAGGTGCTATTCAGAAGGTGGGAAGAGTGCTGTCACTGTTTTTCAGATGAAGGGGCAAGTTGGAGACTTACTGCAAGGAAAAACTTATTCTACCTGATAAAGTTATGTAGAGGATATTTGGAGTTTGTTATCCCAACTTTATATTCATTATATTTATTCATTAATTCATTCAACAAGCATTTATTGATCACCAGGTAAATGTGTTGATCATTAGAAACACAAAGATGGCCAATACATACCCTACTCTTGAAGAGCTCACAGTTGTCAGTGAGATGAGAAAAGATATTGAGAAAGAAAAGAATGTAAATAAAATCTCATCAGGAAGCTTGATTGTGGCTGCTGTGTGTGTGTGTGTGTGTGTGTGCGCGCGTGCACGCGTGTGTGCGAGTGCTCACGTGTGGGTGCAGAATTCCATTTACCCAAATCAGGGAAGAAAAAGAGAAAAAGTTATCATAAAAAATTAGAACAATTTTATTTGCTAGATTTATAAGTTTTTTTCTTTACTTTGAAATGTATAAGAGAACTTGTGTGAAATTGGTGTTTAAGAAGTTTAAGAAAATGTAATCTGACAAATTAATGAGCTAATTGGGAAGCAAAAAACAAGGGAAAATTAGTGTTTTAATTTCAAAACAAAATTATTAGATTTACAATCACTATAATAGTTAACATTATATAGCATTTAGTATGTACTGTTATAAGAATATTACATATAATAATTCATTTAGTTATCACCATAATTCTCTGAGGTGCATATTATTATTATCCAAATCTCATGAATGAGAAAATTAAGGTGCAGAGATGTTAAATGACTGCTTTGCTAAGTGTTATGGACTGAACTGTGTGTCCCCCAAAATTCATATGTTGAAGCTTTAACCCCTAATGTGATATTTGCAGATGGGGCCTTTGGGGGGGGTGGGGAATTAGGTTTAGATGAGGTTATGAAGCTGGGGCCCTCATGATGGGATTAGTGCCCTTTTAAGAAGAAGACACCAGCCCGGCCAGGCGTGGCTCAGCGGTTGAGCGTCCACCCAGGATCCAGGCAATTGGGGTTTGATTCCCGGTTAGGGCACATGCTTGGTTGCAGGCTTGATCAATGACTCTCTCATCATTGATGTTTCTCTCTCTCTCTCCCCCTCTCCTTTCCTCTCTCTGAAATCAATAAAGATATATATGAAAAAAAAATTCAGAAAAAAAAGGAGAAAAAAAAAAGATGACACCAGAGAGCTACTGTTATTTCTCTCTCTCAACCTCCATCCTCCACCCCACCCCCACCCCCTGCCATGTAAAAACAGTGAAAAAGCAGCCATCTGCAAGTCAGAAAGAGTCTTCCCCAGGACCCAACCTATACAGTTTCCACTTGGATAACAGCGGTGGACTCCTAATGGATTTCCCCACTTTAAGCCTTGCCCCTAAACAGTCTGTTCTCAGCACAGAACCAGATCATGTCATAAATCCTGCAGTGGCTTCCTGTTCATCTCAGAACATGAACATAAGTCCTTATGAAGATCTGCTAGTTTCTATGTCATCTGAGTCCTGCACACCCTGTTAGCTACTTGATCTCATCTCCTGTGCCCCCACCCCTCTCTCTCACTCACCCTGCACCCCCACATTGCTCTCCTCACTGCTCCTTGTACCAAGCTCCTTGAGGTCTTTGTATTGGCTGTTCCCTCAGCCTGCATAGCCACACAGCTTGCTCCCTCATCTCCTTCAAGTGTTTACTCAATTGTTTCAATTCTCCATGAGGCCTACATTACCTCTGTTAAAGTTACCCCCTTTTAAAAAAACCAACCGAGTAACCAACAGAAAAACCACTACCATACTTCTGACCCCTCTTACTTGCTTTATTGTATTTTTATAGTGTTTATTTGCTTCAACATTATATAATATGCTCATTTCTGATGTTTATTTTCTGTTTTCCCCCCACTAGCATGCGTAAGCTCCACTAGGGCAAGACTTTTTGTCTATTTTAGGTATTCGATCAATATTTGTTGATGAATAAGTGATTGCACTCACATTTCCCTCTGCAAAGTGATTGCTTTAAAGGAAACCTGATTGATCATTACTTGAACAGAATATAATAAATGATGCAGGTAATGCATAAAGGCATATTGAAAGATCGCTGAGATAAGCAGCCAGTATGGTGACTCCAAGCATGATGGACTTCTGAGTGTGGGTCTGCCAACCTCTTTTTAAGCTAAGATGTTTCCTTGTAGAGATCTTTATGAAAACTGCCTGGGCTTTTGTGTTGCCAGAAATCTCACCTGAGACAGTGACTGAGAACTTAATTGCATTGTCTCAGCTCTCATGGGGGTCGTCTTGCGCTTGGAGAACTGGGTGCTGGAAAGAAGGTAGGGCTCATTTAGTCCTCGAGGAAAATGAAGTTTCTTTGGCTTTCAGAGGTAGCAATGGGCTACTTTTATACATTAACAGAAACACTATGCCTGTAGACTTGAAAATAGGTCATGCAGAGTCCATCTAACACATCGGCAAGCATTTTCCAAGCTGTGAGACAGAAGAAATTGGAATTCTATCCTACAAGAATGTACTCAGTGCTGACTTTGGGCCAGGCATGCTGCAGGTGCTGGTTGTACGATAACAGCAGCCTCAGGAAGCTGCTGGACATGCTGCGGATGACACGCACACAGGTGATGTCGAGTGCCACCAAATGTTAAGTTAGGGGTACTCATAGGGTAGTAGGGGAAGAGAACAGACAAGAGACACTTAACTCATAGTAGGAGGGTCTTCGGAATGCTTCCTGCAGAAGAGGACAACTGATCCAGATGCTTAAAAGATAAGTGGGACCTCACCAAGCACAGAGGGCAGGGAGGCAGCACAGGAAGTGAAAGCAGAAACAAGGGCAAGGGGGTGAGGAGAAAGCTCGGTGTGGATGATCAGCAGATGGGCATTGCCTCACTATGAAGGGCAAGGAGGAGATGGAGGTGAGGTCCTTAAATGCGCTCATTGTTTGAAAGAGGGTATGACATAAGAAAATGCCTTCTCCCGAAAGATTTCCAGGCTTATATTGATGTTATGAACAAGATCAACATTTTTGTTGCTATCCCTACTATTAGCTTTTCATCTCACAATGTT